ACGAATACACACATTAAATAATACCAAGAAACAAAAGACAGCTTTCAAAAACTTTTAGAGGCCACGTTCTCACGGCGACGAAAGTAGTTGTGGCTGTCTTCTGGGATGTTGCACCGTGTAGTCTGGTAGATATTGATCGACGTTTCGGAGTTCCTTAGTGCTTCTGTCATCAGGGCGAAAGCCGAACTACATGGCGCAACGTCGCAGAACACTGTCATCCTCGGTTACCAAATTCTCCCCGCGAAAGACGAACGTGTTACAAAGGGTTTCGGTCAGGGGTGTTTTGTGAGGTCAGTAATCCGAAATGCATTCCTGTCGAAGACACAAAGAATATTCTATCTCATTACGTGTCTTGATTGACAACCGTGAACATTTTCCACTTGGTTGTATGGAGACGGACAGCCATTGTGTCACGATTTGGTCGTCTACAGGGCTACTTTGCGCAGGTAGGAGCTCAGCTATCGTTTCGCTTTTGAACTTTACGAAATTGGAAAGAATGTCTTGTCACCAACGACAATTTTCAGTTGCCAGTATTTTGGTGTTTTAAGTTAATTCAAGTCGCATTACTACAGCTCTAAGGTCATAGTGCATTAGAGGCTGGACATTCACTTCGTAGTCCTGTTTTTACCGATAACACCTGGACCCATAGGCCTAATGAATATGCGTCTTGAACATTGCATCGGGCGCCTGAAGATGGCCATGTCAGGTTAAATGGAAACATGGCGTACGAGCGGAATAATTTTGCTTAAGCGATGGTAGATGATAGCGCACAATGTCCGTTCTTTAACGGAGTTCGCCCGTCGACTGTCCAGTAATTAAACGAACGGTGACTGTGCAGAAAGTTTGTGTCTCATCACTGTTGTAAGGTGACAGGAGTGTTTATGTTTTCCTTTCTCTAAGCAAACGCAAGTTAGTTCGTCGAATCTGTGTTTGGATTCTGCCACGAGTTGCATTTTCCATTGTGAAAGTAATTAATTGTACAAGAACAGAATTTTTTTTAGAAACAGTCTGTACATCCTTGCCCATAATTTCAGCAGCACGTTGCAGCCGACTTAATACAATTTCTCATTCTTTATTCTTGAAGTTACGGGATCACAATTATAGTTTCCGGGCTGGTCCCTGATAATTTGAAGTTCCGCGGAGTTTCCGTAGGGCCACGCACATACGCGCCTGTTTCTGTCAACTGCAGCCATTTTTGGGCGATCGGTCGATGTTGTCCATTGATTCAGATCACCGGTTCGTAAAACCCAGCAGCATTCGAAACTGTCACGTGCTGCAGGAATTTTGTTCCGAGTCATTCAGACTGTCAACGAGGTCCGAACATTATTCCTTTCTTTTGTGTTTACGCTCCAAGGAATCTGCAACTCTATCATTCCGAGAAATCAAAGTTGCGTTTGGAGGTTCAAGGGCGCATCTGCCTTACGCAGAAAGGCCGTAAACCGAATCAAGATTTCAGCTTTCCTCTTCCCACGACTAAAAATGTGACTGTAATTACCCATTCTCTGTCCGTTTACAAACAAAAGCATTTGAGGTCTTCAAGTGATCCGTTCTAACACAATTGTAAACTTTTGATTAAGCGTCGTTGAATAACTAGAAATAGATAATCAAAATTGTTATGAGACGCGCCCGAAATTCGTTATCCGATCGAAGCAAATTTGTTTCCTTCCACAAAGATTAAGAAGGCCCAATTATTCTTAGTCATGTGACGTCATGGCGACGGACAGACGGACGGCCGCCATCTTCTTCCAGCTGCTGGTGCTGCGCTCTTGCGTGCATTTTTTCATACCGTGTTGTCTTGTGCCCTTCTACCCTGAAAACGGAGGTAGCAGGTTGATTCTGGGCCCTGTATAATCGTCTAGCAAAACCCAAGACGGCTCACATATCGTGATGACACGTCTTTAAAATTTTTGAGTAACGAAGAGCAGTCTTGAAGGAGAAGCTGTTAGTTTCTAAGTTGATCATAACAACACATCACCAGATGAAACCAGCCCATACACTATCACCCAATTTCTCTTTGATTAATTTTAAAACTGTCCTCCCCTCTTAGTCTATGTCTTCCAAGTGTTCTTTTTCCCTTCATGATTTATTTTAAATTAAATGCATTCCACGCTATGTAACCTAATGAACTGATACGTCGTCCTAAAATAACCTCACGACCAAACAGTGGGTCTGGGCTTGGACCAACACAAAACTGATTTCTGTGCTTGTGGTGATGATGTAACGAACAGTTGTGTTCGGAGCGCTCCCTCCCAGCAAGGCCTTGAACCTTCTCGTGCAATCCGTCATTAGGAATAAGAAAGTTGTTTTCATTCCACCTGTGGGTTTTGGGGTTAAGGACAGACAGACAGCTTTTCGATTCAGAATCTGATATCGATACACAAGACTCGAGCTGCTCCATGTCGATAAAGATAATTAGCATTTAATAGGACGGGACGATCATTTTAAGAACGTCCAGCCGTTCCGCGTGTTAACCTTCAGGTCATCACACTGGCTTGCCTTTATGGTTGTTAAATGCGAATGAATCACGTGTTTGCTTTCAAAGACTCTGTGCGTAATGCATGTGTCAGGTTCGGATTAAGGGCTGTCCAAATCTCAGGCACTGAACTGCTGTGGCCAGTGCCACTCCATGTCTCATTTCTGCGTTGACTGGCTAATGAATGCAGCGGATTAGTTTAGAGTAAGTAGTTCCAGTGATCTAATTTTCTGCACAGTAAGTAACTCGGTATGAGCTGCACGTACGTAGAAGAAACTTATTTTTGATCGTAATTGTAGATGGCAGATGACTTTATTTCAAAATTGCTTTCTTGAAGTCATTATAAAAATCGTAACAGCAGATTAAATTCGGGATTGCTTAGTAGGTTACCTTTAGAATATCTTGTCTTTTCGTCTGTTATCGGAATATAAGTTTAAACACTGTAATGCCTTATAGAACACTGTAATATTTCGTGTTTAGTTTAGAAAATGTCGTGAACCGTCACATAGGAATATGAAAATTATGACGACATCAAAATTCTTTCAACTCTCGTAAGAAATGTTCCCTTAACGTTGAAAATATCAACATGCCAGGCAAGCTGACTTTTATAGCTGGTATGGCCGCAGGATTCTTCCCGAAACAATGGGCCAGTGTTTTCGCTCTTCAGCGTGAGATCTGGCATGCAGAATTCGTACGCAAATTCCTAAAATGGCTGAGAGCCCACACCAACATTTCGCGTAGTTCGGATACTTCTGAGTAACCCTGTCCCATTAAACTTCCTGACGCGAAATGCAGTGCACGAGGGCCAACAACCCCAAACTCCGACCCACGACAAACTGAAAATACGCCATTGTCTTTGTAGAAGACCTCTGTTCTGAACAAGATGAAGCCAGGCCACACCCTTACGCTTAATTACTTTGAGGTCAATTTTAATATTATCCCCCTGTTCACGGCCACGTCTTTTTCACGACATCTTCAGATCTTCCGACTCTCCCGTGTGCCTTCATGGTCCAGGCGTTTTATCCCGTTTCCTCCAGTCTCCTGTCACTTAATCCCGCTTAGGTCCAAATATTCCCCTCAGACACCCTTAACATGCGTGCTCTTCCTGTAACGCGAGAGACCAAGTTTCACACCCATACAAAACAGGTACAGTGATAGTGTTTTTATATTCCAGTCTTTGTGTTTTAGAATGCAGTTACCAGACATCTGAACTCCGAACAATTTCTGAATGATTCGGTAGTCGGAGTCTGATCAATATGAGGTCTTAGTTAAGCAAATGCAAAACCAGTTAGTGGTCGACGGTGCATTATGTCGAGGAGTACCATGAGAGCTGTAATTAATTACGCCGCCGTCGCTAAAGATGATTTGCGCCTTTTGTAACCTCTCAGACCGCCGAGGTCCGCTACTTTCCGTGTAGGCACCTGCATTCTTTATTCCGGCTCTATCTGCATAGTTCTCGCTGTTTGTCATGCCGCCGCCTCTAACTGCGCGTTTGTCTTGCAAGTAATGGCGTCCAGTCAGAGAGGGGAATTTGGAAATCCATTTTCTGCAAAGGTATTTTTTTTATTGGCTGCTCAAGAATCCTTCCTGGTCCCAGGAATATTATTCTTTTTAGTGGTAACAGCAGTATTTAACCTCTTAAAGGACAGGTCTCGCCTGAATAAACCCCATAAAACATCGCATCGTCGTTGCAAATGTCTGTGTTTGAATGACATTTAGCAAGTCTTCTGCTTCTAATGACTGTAAGACGAATGAGACCTGGTGATTGGTGAGTTAGAGACTGATTCGTTTTGTGTAGGTACCGGTTTGGAACGAACTGTTCTCACTGTCAAGTTCCTGAAGTCGTGACGCCTCTCAGTTGTCCTGAGATAATGCGTCAGCTCTAAATCGCATGGATCACCGTGCGGAAGGGTTAAAATTTGTTTAGGGCAGTGCCCGAAAGTTTTAATACGTTATGCCGCTGTGATATTCGGCATTGCCCATTAATGAGGTCACTTCGATATACGTGAACTTTAGGGAGTTAAATCTACTCCAGTCTGCAGTTGACTGATTGTCCCTTTTTTTTTGGGGGGGGGGGCACATTTTCTCTTGTTTCTAATATTTTAGATAGTAGAGAAATCCTCCGAATTTTATGGAATCCGAAGGTTCATTACCGTGTTGACAAGAGCCCGCTATTCGACTATGTTCTGGTCATGTTTTCTCCACAACCCTACTCTGAGCCAGATAAATTCACTCGGAATAAGTACGGACTAGTATCAGATATAAAGTTTTTCATCGGAACTGCCCATATATTAAGATGGATCACAAAATTATTGAGAATTAGTGCGAAGAGAAAAATTACTCACCAGCTTAGCTGCTTTAATGGATGCATGTGGCCTCGCAGTATCACTCGGTCGCTGCTGATTGTCTGGACGTGCTAGAAGAGGCGTTGGTTGTTGGTCGACGGCCACGTGTACAGGTGGTACTGTCCAGCTGATGGCCGGGTAGTTCATCGCTATGGGCGGGCAGGCCACCGGGGTAGCGCACGGCGGTCGGTGATGCTGAGCCCACGGGGAGGGAGGTACTATGGGGCACAGGCGAGGTACTCTGTGTGACGGCCTTCTCGAAGGCCTGCAGTCTGCGACTGGAGTCTGCCCGTTGTGATGCAGCACTTTGTCCGTGCCGTAGAACCACACGTTTTTCACATGCCTGTGCTCATTCGGGAGATGCTGGTCAACTTCCATGCTCCTGGTCCGAGTCTTACTGTTTGGGACGATGTCCTTCATGCTTTGCAGATGTCCTGGAAAAGTATCCTTCCGGTCCAGTTGCAGCGCCCCATTAACTGTGCAGTCTTTGCCGAGGTAGCAAGCCGGAACTTGTCCGTTGTACCACGTCCGGTTGTTTAACGGCATCAGTGATGGAAGTGGTTTTGGCCATTGCGATAAACGCTGGGGGTTCAGAGTACAGTGTTCGGCGTTTTCTGGTCGATGCCTTAAGGGTAAGTCGATCACCCCTGTGTCGTGTCTGTATACAGGGCTAATGCTGCTCGGAATGACTCTGTTGTTGAGTTTAAACCCGTATTCGGGAGAAGAGAAATGTTCTTCCGACGGCAATTCTTTGTCGTTACATTCTCTGTCTGCCTGAGGTTTATTACCAATACAAATACTCGAACTGTTATCGATGTTAAAATTTCCCGCCGCGTTTTTAGCATCGCAAGGCGATGTATTGTGAACTGGTGTCTCCAGGCGTGCTGAAGGCTTTTCTGAAGGGTGTCCAAGAGACGTGCTATTTCTTATCTCTGCATTGTAAGTCATCTTTGTATCACAACC